TATCTCCATGGCAGCAAATAACTTGGTAGATAACAGTAAGCCTCCTTTCTGGAAAGTTGGCTTTTAAATGAGTGTGGTAGTGAGGCAGTGCAGAATGGTAGCGATTATTCTTTTGTCTCAGGACCTTAAATTGTAGCCCTACATACTGAGAAATTGAAAATAAATATCTCACCGTGAAGTTCAAGCCAAAATCAAAGGAAAGGAAGAAAAGAGAAAACAAATTTAGAGAAGATCCTTTGAGGGTGGACTCTTTTCCACTGGGCAGATGCAGTAAGTGAATCAGCACCATTCACAGGGGTCTAGGTGAGACAAAAATCAGTCAGACTACAAGTCTCAGTTTGAAGGGAGATTTCCCTCAAAACACCCCTGACCCCTCTCCCTACCTTTTCCTTCCTCTCCTCCTTACTTTCCCCAAAGAAATTTCTTCAGGTTTGAAATATGAGGAGATTAAACAGAAAATTAGCAAGTTAACATTTTAAGAATGATGTTATATTCTTGGAATTATCCCCCATTTCTAGGTGGGCAATTTCTAAGCCAGTCATATAAAGTAATACAGCTTACTTCTTTTGTTCATGCAGACTTTGTCATTAAATTTACTTAAAAAGGCGGAAATGATTTTGTTAACTCTACAGTTTATATGAGATAAAATGGAAAGAATTTCAGAAATCAATTTAATTTGTAAATTCATATATTCAGAAGACAGATGAATATTAACAAGAATTACTTTAGAAAATAAACTTTTATTTGGCTTTCTGATTTTGGAGAGGCATACAAAATTGAAATTTAGTTTGTATATAATGTGTTAGAAATATGTCTCATTCACTGTATTTGAATTTTAGGGTCAAAATATTAAATCTACAAATAATAAAGATTTTAAGTTTTATCAAATATAGGGTATTTAACTTACAATCAACCCAGTTCATTTTTCATATTATACTTCTTTAAAAGGTTAGACTTTATTTATAAGTTGCTTTTTCTATTACAGTAATTCATTAACTTTGAGAGGGGTGGTTATGGCCCCTTTGAAAAAAATGCACATTTAAACAAAATTTAAATATAATTGGCAAGGGGTTTACCACCTCCTTTCCTTCATACCCACAAGCCCAAAAGCATTCATATAGTTTGGATTAAGAATTTATGTTCTAATTATTTTGAAGGTTTACATATTTTAAAGTCTAGATCTCATCTAATTTGCAAACTGCCCCATAGTTTTATGAAACAAGTTTTTGTTTCCAGACTTTATGACTAGAAGACCATACTTCAATCTCATGAAGAAAAATTTAGTTTTCCATAGATCTGCAGCACAGAATGAAACTAACTCCTAACCAGTTTGTTTTGAATCCTGTTTTCTTTTTACTAATTAAACATGCCATTTAAAAATTAATAATATGAGTATTTAGATTTTTCAATATTCTTGTACAACCATTTAGAAAGACTTATTAGCATTGTATCTTATAGAGAGAAGGAATACATTATTACGTTCTTAAGAAACAATCATTTTTCAAGCAGTGTTGTTTAATGAGCTGTGTGTTCTGAATCATTGATGTAGGGACGAAGACATGCAAAGTTTGGCTAGTTTGATGAGTATGAAGCAGGCTGACATTGGCAATTTAGATGACTTTGAAGAAGATAATGAAGATGATGATGAAAACCGAGTGAACCAAGAGGAAAAGGCAGCAAAAATTACAGGTTGGTTTTAGTAGCATTGAAGCTAAAAGTTTTGTTTTTTTGCAATGTTGAAAAACTTATTCTTGTTCCTCAGGGAGAAAAACAAAACAATGCTATTAACAAGGTACTATTTTTTATGGAAGAAAGAATTGTTAT